TAGAAAGTATTCCAATGATAACAATATCTTCATTTCCTTCTCTTATTGTTGGTGCTATTTACCGATCTTTTAATTCATTGCAAATCCAACATGTTGGACTTATCAATGTGAAAATAATTTTTAAAAACAACCTTTCAAATCTAAATAAAAGGTGACGATGAATGTTCCATTTACGAATTGAAATCGAGAGAGTCATGATTGCTCAGTTCTTGCGATCCAACGCAAAGAAGAAGAAGAAAGAGAGACGCATAACCGTTAACCGATTGAGAGTCTCAACTGGTGGCTACGCCTGTTGAATATCTTGGAATTCCAGATTACCAACGAAAAAAGCGGTCAATGTAGTTGAGAATCGCTGGTTGTGTTACGCCATGGCGTTAAGTGTGTCAATAGGAGAGCAAATGTCCGAATGCTCTGACCAATTGGGGCCATTCATCGATGCTGCTCTTCAATACCTTCTTTGATGCTAATTAACAAGAAAAAAAATGATTACACCTTTCGGCAATTTTCACTACAATGTTATATCGCTTGAAAATCAGGTAAGACTTTTTCAATCCAATCTGACTTATTTTTGAACAAAAAAATTTCCATTTCTAATTTAAACTCATTTATTTTTGCAGGTAATTATTCTGTTTAACCTGGTTGTTTATAATCAACTCTATTCATTGATCATCTTACCTCGTCATTAAAAAATTAATTTGCTTTTTAATTAAAAAAATCATTAGCAAAATTTAATAGCATACTTCAGTGGTATTAAAGTTGGTGCTTAAGAATAAATCAGTGATGTTGAAGAGTGTTTTTTAGTGAAGATAGTGTGGTGAAAGATTCAAGAAAGGTGATACAGTGGGCAATAAAAAAGACGCGTGTACTCGTGACTTGTTGAAACCTTCGAACAAGTGACCTTACTATTATATGAACTCGAGCTGTAGAGTACACCTATTATCTATTATCCTTTTACCAAGTTTCAGATATAAATGAAGCCTGAATGTAGAGGCTAGTGATGGAATGTATTTGAGCACAAAAGGTTACTAGGTTCCAGCTTGCGTAAATTCATTTCCCTTTTTTACAGCACACTTTATTCTTATCATATTGAAGTATGTTTTTCAAAAAATGTCTTGGAAAAAAAATTGATCCAAGTTAAAGAATTTCTGTAACATGTCTTCTGTACATGAAAACAACCTCTTTCTCAAAGTTGTTTTGCTATTATGTAGCATCTTGACTGCATTTTATTCTCTTCTATAGTTTTCTCATCTTCGTGAACGATGTTTTACTCGCTTCGTAGAATCGTTTCTCACTTCCTGCAGCACTACTCGAGGATATTTCATTCCTTTTGTACTCTTGTCTTATATCTATTTCTTATCATAGAAATGATATATATTTTAATGATTCTATTTTTGAAAAAATCCTCTTCCTCCAGTTACCAATAAATCAGTCACAGATAAAATAAATCCAATACACCTATTATTTATGTTCCATCCTTAAAAGAATAGATAGTTTGAACATATTTGTGATCATTTCTTGGAAGAAGACAATTGGCCATCATTATAATTTTACTTCAATCGATAATGACAGGGTCACTAGATAGAAAGGACTGGATGGTGGTTTAAAAATTTAATGCGTGCTGAAATGTGTTCTCCATCTTGGAAGAACTGGTTTTCGCGTGATGTCGCGAGAAACTAGTTGCAAAATACAATGACCATGCAACAACCCAGAACAAAGAGATGAAGACATGTGAAGAAGAAAAATAAAACAATCAAAAAAAATAACCTCTTTTTTTCTACATCTTCTTGATGTTCTTTCATTTGTAAAATATGTTACTTTTATATATTCTGTTGGATTTACATGTTTCTATTTTTTTTATCTAGCATAATAAGGCTCATTATAGTAACAGTAGCTTTAAATAACTTTGAATATCAAATTGAGACGAAAGGGAAAAAAAAGTGAGGAGCAGTATGTATAAAACTCCATTTACTTTCTATCTAACAATCGTTTGTTTTGTGTGTACATAGTATCTCCAATGCTTTCACGATTGTCTGCATATTCCCATGTACCTGACTTTTCCAAAGAAACAATAACTTTTGCGCTTGGCCTTCAATGCTGGTATAAACTACCGAGTAAAAAATGGTTTTATTCTTTGGATACTCTGTTCTCTGATCTTCCATTAAATTGTTGAGCTTTTTTTATCTCTTTTTTCATACATTAAGTCTTCAATGTTGATTGAATCATCCAATAGATCACTGCTAAAACTCACCAACAACAACATTCATTTCTTTCAAAATAAGAGAAAATAATTTTTCAAAATTAAAAGCTGCTGGTAATTATATTACTTTCAATATTTAAGTTAAATATGTGCTCAAGTATTATTGATAATAATTATATTTTATTTCCAGATGATGCTAATGTAAGTAATTCAATGATTGCTGAATGAAAAGCTAAATTCTACGTGTGCTGTTTCAAGCTAAAATTATAAAATTCCAGCATAAGTAGAGTAAAATGAAAATTTGGAGGCATCCAAGCAGCGAAATCGTCCAATTGCATTGCGTGATTCCTACCAAGCGAAAGTAGTTTTACGCGAATAAACCATCTTACTCTTTAGTTTTATCAAAACCACAAAACGAATCTTTCATTAAAGTCATTAATTCACTCAGTGATCGAAGAATATTTTTCCAACTGAGTGTATATATATAAATATATTCAATAATCATTTTTTTGCCATCACATTTCTCTTTTGTAACTTTTAAATTGCTGTATGAGCTCCATTGACATGAAAAAAAAAAGCCACAAGACATATGATAGGTTAGTTCAGTTAACAAAAAAAAAAAATCAAAAGATGAGATCGAACATACAAAAAGATATATAATGACATAAAGAACAGTGTGAAACTCAGTTGCAAGTCATGGCAAAAGCTTATCAAGACCTTCTTAGCCACATTCATTTCTTTATTTCTGTCATATCACCACAGTTACTTCCTGCTCTTCTTTTCATCATCATCAATGTGGTCAACAAGAAGACATGTACTGAGCAAAGTTGTACCTTTATTCTAAGGTCTCTTCACTGAATATTATTCACAGTGAAATCATAAAAATTGATTTTTTGTTTCTAACATATTCCTGTATCCCAAGAATCATCATTTATAAATGGCTGATAATTTATTTATAAATATTAATTAATTTTTATTCCATCTGAGAAGATATCGTTAATTACTAATTAATCAATGTCTTTCTGATTATTTATGGCTCGTTGTACAGACAAGTTTGTGATTAATTGATTATATTATTCAATACTTAACCTTGCTATATTGATCATTGACATCATTCAGAGGTATCCCAACCTCAAGTATCGAATTTCAGGGTGTAATTGTGCATCATAATAGAGGTATTATGAAAATCATTGGTATTATACAAGTTACAAATTATATTTTTCGCTCTATCAACTCCACTAGTGTATTCCGTTCCAATAAATTGTAAAAAAGAAGATTACAGTTTTCAAGCTGACTAAATAAGTCACTGGTAAAAAATTTCTTCATCACCATATTCTGAATGTGCTAAAATGATATCTTAAGGTATTTTTTATCAACAAAACGTGCGTATTGCATTCTTTTAAAGTTTATAATTTTTATATTTTAAAAATAAATAAAAGTAAAAAAGAATGTAAAATATTTTTTAAAAAAAAGAACTTAATAGAAAATATTCGTTGCACAAAAATCATCCTCAAGAATGATGTCTTTTCTGAGAATAATTAAAATTAAACAAAAAACTTGGTTTTAGTACCAAAGAAATAATCTTGATGATTGTAAAAAAATATTATTTTCATTAAAGTACTTTAAATAAATTAATATTTTTTTAAACTAATAATTAAATTAAAGTGATATAATAAATGACTGCAATTAATTAATGAATAATCTATTTGTCAAAACCAGTAATTTTTTAGTAGAATAAAATTTTCTTCTAGATTACTATCAAGACTGTTCTATCATTAAACTAGATTTTCTTCATTCAAAATTTATTGCCACCATTAACTACACTCCTTAATGCTCCAAAACTTGGTTGCAATTATTTGGAATATTTGCATAAAGTATTCTGATAGTTGAAGGTTAATTATTGTAAGGGTAAAATACGTGATAAGCAGAAATTAGATTTTAACCGGACCGTTAGATTCTAAGAGAGATGTTTAATGGAACGCACAGGATAAATGCTCCGTGGCCGAAGAAAGGCGGCCACCTGTTCTCTCTGTAAATTCTCCTGCTACAATCGTGTGCAGCTTCATCGTCTAAGGTTTTTTTTATTCCTTTTTTTTGCGATCATGGATACGCATGCAAAAGAAGAGTAAAAGGAGAACAGTCAGAAGGAAGATCACTTCCAAGGAAATAATATCATAAAAGGATCAAAACTTTCCAGAAGAATAGCTCTGACGAGCAACCATCCGTAAACAAAATCTATCGTACTATTATTCTCATGGAAAAATGTAAAATTAAAATTTACAAATGATACAGTATCATAATCATTTGTATACAATCCTAAATGTCTTTTTGTTTTTAGGTGATGAAATATCCGCCTTTCATGTAGGGTATTATTTATTTCACACCCAAATATCATCATTCTTATGATATGTATATGACATTAGACATATTTTTTAATTGTGTGAATTTTGAAAATATTCTTTAGAAAAACGGTATATCAAGTAGGGAAAAGGCCTTCAAAAATGAGAATCAAGCACTATATTTAAGTAGATTACTACTATGTGTATACTTTGGATCTAAGAGAAAACGAAAGCTCACCAACAATATTGCAAAACTGTATAATGTTTTCGTAATCTCATCGTCTACTATTCGTAATCCTTGAACACGGCAAAAATTCTGAATAGCTACTAAACCTTCACCCAAAAAAAGTCATTGTAATTGTTTAATATATATTCTCAACGAGTATTAAAAAAAAATATCCTCGAAATTTCTACTTTTCTAATATTAATTGAATATTTAAAATAATTATGATATAAAAACTCACCTCATTGATACTTTCTACTCCATTTGAAATATCCAGAATTTCACTTAACACACTATTAAATTTATCCAGATAATAAATAATCAATTTATGGATATAATTAGCAAATCACTTTTTTACAATCACTTTTTTTTTTTTTTTAAGATCACTTTTCACAGAAACACTTTTATAAGTTTCAATTCTTTCCATAGATAATAAAATGTTTTATTAAATTTTTTTTTTTAATACTTTGATGATAACAAAAAGTCATCAAAAAGTGACTTTTTGGACTTCAGTACACCCGAGAACCATCCAAGTCGAGCTCTGTCGACCAAGTGAGAGGCCTAGCGGCACTCATAAGTGCGCCAGTGACGTCACCGACAGACTCTTCGCTTACCATACTACCAAGTAGTCTCCACGAGAAAGGTGTCCTGCCTTCTCTGATGATCCCCCACTATTTGTCCACCTTTTTCTTATTGCAATTTACCTATAAGTTGAAGTAATTTGTTAACAAAAAACCATTAACGTAATCATTATTTTCTCTTTCTTATAATTTTCATCAAAACCACAACATTCTATATCATTTTGATATCAAATTTGTTATTGTCAAACTATTTTTTGATTCACTGCAAATTTTTTATAATAAATTCAACATCATCACATGTTAATTTCGCAATATAAGTACAACTATATTAACTAATTTGCAGTGGAATTTAATTGGTATGTAATAAAATAACTTTATATACATAAACCTCTATAACAAATCGCGTTCCTCTGATGTAAAGTCAAGAGTCACTCCAAGAACACTTTCACATGGAGGCTGTACAGGTAAATATCATGGCCATATTTTCTATACTTGCCTCCTCCTCTCTTTCCCTTCTTTCTTTGGATTCCTTTACAATCAAATACTACCATGTTCTATGATCAAACTCTTGTCCTTATCATTATGTTGTTGCAACAGGTTGCAGTCTAGTTGATAATTATCTGCAAGAAAGAAAATATGTACATTGAACGAAGAATTTAACGAAAAAAAAAACCTCGTGATTTCCACATTTTTAAATGACATCAATTCCATATACAGAGCAAATAAAACAGTAACGGTCCTCGTGTGCAGCTCGTCATGACGTTTGTCCTGAATAATTCCATGCCCGACCTTCCAACTATTGTTATGTGTTCCTCCAATTTTTTTTCAATAGCTCATTGTTAGTTTCAACACTTCAAAGCATCATGACGTATTTAAATTATAATTTATAAAATTAACATTTTTTTCCTAAATAATTTTTCTTTTTATTCAAAATATCATAGAATAATGATAAATAACGAAAAATAAGTCTCGAAAGAATTAAAATAATTTGATTGTTTGAGAAAATAAATATAATTGTGAGAATATCTTGGTATCTTCCTCAAGTTCCGGAAGAAATTAAAAGCGAAATAAGAGTAGTATAGGTAGAGAGGAAAAGTTTTGCGACTAAATGCGGGATGGAGATAGAAATTGAACGAATTACGTTTCAAATATGCATGTATTCATTCAAGAAAGACAATATATCCGTCAATTTACTCGGTGGATAACACATTAAAACTCGTGATCTTGAATACAAGCTTCAGGTGAATTCATGAGAATATTTCTCATAGTTACTATACACTAAGTAGATAAGAATACTAAAAGGGAGTAAAGATACAAAGATTGCACTTTAATGCAAGCTAGAATGAGTAAGGATAATAAAAAAAATATTAAATAGCAACATAATTAATGATTTCTCTAAGTATAATTAGCGTTTTCACTGCTCTTGGACTTGGCATCATCTAGTTCCTAGTTCATTAAACTAACTAGATTTTCGTGAATAAGATTTTTTGTAATTATTAATTAAATTTTTAACTAGTTACCTTTCATGTATTGTCGTTGATAAAAAAAAACGCCCATTTTCACCAATGTTTTTTTTTTTTTTGGAACTATCATTTAGGTAGAAACAATATGTATGACTTAGCATATTGATACGATGATGATCGTTGACTTTGTCAGGAAGAGAAAGAAGTAAAATTATACCGCTATATATTTATCGTATGATTCAGCACTGATCGTAGGTTGACTTCATCTCACATTATATTCAAATAGATAGGAAGATGTTTAACATTTCAACCATTCTGTAAAAAAAAAAACATTGCGTAGTAGTTTATAAGAGCACTATTATCATCTTTTCATTCAAATAAAAAACTATCTATTCTGATTTACATGAATGCATCGTTCTATAGTTAATTAATACAATAAAAGGAAATCTGACGTAGAATTCTGTTAATAAAAAGGTGTGCCGCATGCAGATTACAGGAATGCACAATGGAAATATTTGACATGGTACAGCGAGAGATATAAAGAGATCAGAGATTTAAGATGCTGCAAATAATTCTCTTAACTGTGATCTACATTATAAAATTGAGGAGGTGGATAACATATTTTAACGGGATTCAAGTGTCCAGTCAACCTACACATATCAGTTCAATGATTACTATTTTACGTTTTAAGTGAAAGAGTTCATTGCACTTCGTAGGAGATTAGCTTGATACTTCTCAGTACAATTCAATAATCCAATTTTTCGCTTGATCGAATATTCAATTAGCTTTGCGATGAGATAGGAATACTAGGAAGGAAATAAATAGCTGAATAAAGATTTTAAGAAATTATTGGGTTAGTGACTTACCATTCAATTGTTAAATTCAACTGTACGTCAGGTAAAGATCAACATCTCCAGTAAGAATAGCGCCCACTGCAGAAGAAACTTTTTCTATTTTACCTTTCGCCATACTAACACGAAGCAGAAGACTCTCAGAAAAGAATTCCGGGTTCATATAGCTGCAACAGGATGAAACTAGTCACGCGATTCACTTCTATCAAGAAATAATTAAATAACGAAATAAAAAAAAGGTTAAATTCATGAATAATTTGTACTTACTTGTTGATACGAAGTCCATTATTTAAATACATTAAAAGATTTATTCTTTTTATACCATTAGCTATTTCTACTGATTTATTAAACATTTGGTGTTGCATAATAGAAAACGACTTATAAATTAATAACCAAAAGTAACTCCTACTGTTATTGCGCATTTGATAATGCCATACGAAATAAGACGATAACATTAAATGACTCTTGCTTAATTCGATTTCAAATAATATATATCATTAGTTATTTGTTATAAAACATTGAATATTCTAATTATTAGCTGATAAATGATTTATTTTATGTAACAAAAAAATTCGTTGAAACGCGAACAGTTGAACTTCGAAAAACGCGTAAACATTAACAGTCGCCATCTTGTGGAACTTTTGTTCACGCGTCATAGTCGGTAATAAAGAAACTTACTGCTTTCAATAACAAGTAAGAAAGGTTATACAATTACCGACTGAGTTTGTGTTAATAACGAAAGAATTCCTTATTATCGATTTATGACGCTTCGGCCAGCAAACAGACGCTTGCATGAATGTCCCGATTTCTGTATTTATATTTGAAAGTAAATCGTAAATTTCAAGTTTAATAATGAAAAAAAGTCAAGTACCAAAGAAGATTAATTATGTGAATGTATATAATAATTAAATAACGCAGACTTTATTGAGGTAAAAGCTTTTTATGTAGAAATACCACTTCACCGGTTGCAGTGGGTGTTGACGTGAGAAATTTTCTTAACAAATTTAATTACATTCTAAATTAATGGAATATTTGGTTTGACATAAAGCTAAGAAAAGCATATAGCATACTGGAGAAAACTTCGTCTCGAGCTGTATAATTTTGTTGTACCGACACAAGTTTCAGCATTGTTGGGAAAGTTTTCAATTGAGAAAGACTAATCATTAAATCACATTTCCATTACATTAACTAAAATTTCTAAACTTATATTTTCTATCTTCACCCTTTAAAACTTGCTTTTTTCACAATAGTTTGACAAAGCTTGTTGAAATTCCTTGATTCTTCATCATCGTCAGTGCTATCAAAGTACTCTAATTTTCATTTGTATAATTCATTTACATAGTGACAGATATAATGATATTATAACCCCGAGGTGTCTATTTCACTCTATAAACTAACAACTTAATTCATTCCAAAGTTTACCTAGCATAAACCCTCCGGATAATGTCATCTAATGAAAGATTCTAGCACTAAGAATTTAGAGATTTTACTGTATTTACGTGCTGGATCATTTCACTATAATGGTGTCGTGCAAACAATGTGGTGGATAACGTAAAATAAATAGTATTTTTCCTAACAATTCGAAACAGAAGACTGTAGTCCAGAGTAGGATATCATCTTACTGATTCTGAAAATAGAATAAACTATTGATCAAACAGTATTCAGTATATAAGTTTATATGTTTAACGTTTACACAATTTACCTCTAAATTTGAAAATCATTTAAAAACTAATTATACTTTAAAAACTATTAGTACTCTCAAATTATCTTTACAATGGAATATTGAATGCAGTTAAGTAAGATTAATAAACGAATATGATCAACTAAATTAAAATTAATTACTGTAAAATGTATGTATTTAAATTTAAAGTATGTAGAATGTTATATTAAGAAAGGTTAAAAGAGAATTCAGAGTGGAATCTTACAAATACATAAATGTCATTGTATTTTCTCTAGTAGTAACGTACAAGTATTAAATGGTATTCATTTTAATACCAAGATACATTATTTTCAAGAAACACTAAAATTTAACGATTTCATTGCTCTTATAATTTTATTTTATTTCTTTTTTATTGGTGATTATTTTACTTGTCTATGACCTACTTTTATTTAGTAAATATTTGTTTAAAAAAGAATGAAAATGTAGGGTGAGTAGTGTAAACGACCTAAATGTATACAAACTTTTTGTCATCTTTTTTTTCCATTCTTTATGAAGTAGTTTATTCTTAAACATAAAATTTAAAATAAAACAACCAATTGGTCTTGGACATTTTCCAAGTCTCGTGGAAGGTTGCTTGATCCACTACAAGGATCATTAAAAGTTCATGAATTGGCTTCTTCTCGTCTTCCTTTTATTCAATATTTCACGATCTTAATTTAATAAAATAGAAAAAAAAAATTACGTTTGTTTAATTAAAAAAAAAAATATAGCAAAGTTGTAGAATGAGAATAAGAAATACTATCATTTCACAAAACAATCAAAAACACTTTCTTCGTCAAGGGGTTCCACTTCTGACTTTCATCCACCCAAAATGATATTTTTCTGTACTTGAAGCTCTTATCTATCAGGTTGTCTCTAGAAAAGATATATTTGAAAGATATATGGATGGGAAAGAAAGAAAGTATGATCTATGTTCATTTTCTGACTTTTTCTTTCATTAAAACTTATATACCTTTTCACCATCTCACCCTCTCATCCAGAACCGTCAGTCTCATTCGCAAAACGTTCTTCGCTTCTCTGGTATTAACATTCCTTTCGCGCCATTCTCGGCTGGTTTGGAGAACGCCAATGTACAAACCATGGAAACTCGTGTGATACCAATACATAACTCACAATTTTCCATCCAATTGGATTACTTTCTGTAGTCTTCAATTTTCCATGGGCTTTTGTTTCCATTTCTTATCAATATTTATCCTCGTTCATTGGTAATTGTATTGTAATAGAAAAGAATGAATTATCATAAAACAATTTAACATATATCACAAAGTTATAAATAAATCCATCTTACCTACAGTCCTCCTTTAAAGCTTGCCCCAATACAATGAGAAAATATGGGAGTGTAAAGGAGAAAGTGCACTCGCGCTTTGAATTTACAAGCTTAATCTTACAAGAACACCCACGATGATTCGATTATCTTAACTCCAATGAATCCTCTTGAATTAAAAATGACGATGAGTCTGTAGACAAGCTATGATGAAGAGAATAGAGTAATTCGGATAACTATTCCAATGGCATTCTCTTGCCATTTTAAAAAAGGTTTCAGTTATCTCGACTGCATTTAACCATGTACATATATGGTTACAGTGTTGATAGTTGTAAAAAATAATGAACATCCTGAAATTATGTATCATAATAAGTCAGAATGTTGGAAAAAAGTAATAAATAAGTTGCTCCACTCAGTACATTGTCCAGTTGTTGAAATTCCAAAACAACTTTCATGAATGTACGTAATAACATTGAGGGAATAGTATGATTCGTTATTGTCTGGCAATGTCAATGTGTAGGATTGAAAAGTCACGCAAAAGACAAAAGCTTGTCGGTCACCTTAGAGCACGAGCGAAGTTATGCATTGAAAGGGTCGAAAATAATATTCTTTACCTTTCAAGCCGACCGCCGGTTGAATCGAAATAAGTAAAGTACACGAACACTGGAGCGTTGGTCTTTCTCTTTCTTTCCCTACTGTTTCATGCTGAGATTCAGACTATCTGGGTTTACCAAACTCGATTTTGTCTCACTCCAACACTTTCCTGAAGCCCTTACAACCGTATTTATCAGTTCACTTCTACTCTGACATTCTTCCTAACCGTCGTCTCACTCCCACTCTGGAATCCCCACCACTTATGTACTGTCATCTCGCAGGTAACGTGCTAGCGGCAGGCAATGGCGCCTGCACCTGGGGGTAATCGTTCTCCACATAATCCTCTCCATTTCATTGGTCAATTCTTATAAAGCTTCATTCTCATTCGTTTTCCTTAACGATTTGCCGGCACGAGACTTAATCTCGTTTACCGTAGACGCGCTGGTGCTCAGTTCAACTTACTTCGGCCTTACGAACGGCCAGTCGGACATTTTGTGCGCAAGTACCAAGAGCGCACGTACCAAAAAAAAAATCCGTCAACGATATTAAACATTCGGATAAACGTTTTATTCATTGCTATATGTTTTATATATTATATTATATATTATTCTATTTAATACCAAGTGCCTTTTGATCATTATTCTATCATAAGTATGATGGTGAATTTTGAAATTCAGTAACTCTTTTTGCCGATGTATTACGAGATCAAAACTAAGTGACTCGATAACCGCATCCGCCAACTTTGAGAAACCGTTCAACGTCCGTCTGGAATCTCTTGAGCGCCTGCGCCTTCAGTCTTTTCGAAAAAGTTCGCTTTAACTTTACCGGCGGGCTAAAATCTCTACCTCGCATTTTTCTTTATTTTTTTTGCCAATCCACTGGTATCATTTTTACAGTAATCAGTGACGCTGTAACAAATACAAGAACTCCAAAGTGTGTTGTTAAATGATAGTAATTAAAAGTGTTTTTTGTGAAATCATTAGAAAACGATGAAGTGGATCAAGTTGGTGTTGAAAATCGTGTATTGATGTGTTGAATGAAAAGTGTGATGAATGTCTAGTGAAACAAGTGTAAAATCTTACCTGAGAACAGTGAAAGAGTGTGGTGAAAAGATATATTGTGCAGACAGGTTCTTTTAAAATCTGGATTACTCGAGGGTGCCGAATACCTTCAATCTTTTGCCGGTTCATCACAAAGGTAATGTTGATTTATGATTTATATTTATCGATTCTATTTATATTAATAGAATATTTTATGTCCATTCGGTTTTTCACATAATATTTATGATAATCATATCGGTTTTGGAGGTAATGGTTTTGGGCTCCAATATTTTTCATGCACATAATTGTTACATAAATTTTAAATACTTTAAAACCAATCGAAATAAAGTAGTTCAGTTAAATGGTGTATTAATAAAAAAAAAAATATCTAACAAATTTTAAACATAAATTTTTTTATTTTATTATGAAACTTTTTTAATTAAATGTATAAATAATTCTAGCTAGAGTTTAATTTAGGAATTAAATAATATTTTAATGTATGATGAAGTTGTTTACTAACTATTTTATTGAATTATCAAGGAGGAGAATAATTTTTAACTTCCGTAGTGGAGTAAATTATTGTCTACATATTTAACTATACATACAGAAGCCTAATAAATGCTATATATAGTTATGTTACGGAAGTAACTAGTTAGTGAAGTTCAGGTAAGTCTTTTACCTTGGACCCCACTTCTAGTGAATGCATTCTTGTAAAACCTTTTGTGAAAATATTTCCCAATGAAATCAGGAATCTTCAAATTTGACAGCGGTATTTTTTTTGAAATTTATCAACTGTTTTCCAGGAAGGTTATTCTTCAAGTTTACTTAAAAATGTCCAATTCTTACCAGTCAACAATGAAATTGACCTCATTCTAATAGTCAGTGTGTTCTTAAAGAAAAATTGCAGTGGATATTTTTAAAAATTCTCTCGACAAATAAATTTCCCAAGCTCAAGTATTATTTTTAATAATTATCTACAAGTGTGAAAGAATGGTTTTGATGATAAAAATAATTCTTTAATTAGTGTCATTAACATCATGTCATTCATATTTTTATCAGAGTTATTTTTATTATTAACAATTCTAGATAATTTTTCTTTTAAAATAAAAACATTCGATTAACATCTATAGATATAGTTTATTAATTCTATTCAATATTTTTTCTAATATTAATAATTCATTTAACCATTCAAAAATAATGAATATATTTAATTAATTGTTTAAAAATAATTCACCAATTCATATTATCCAACATATCGATGCTCGATTGAATAAGTTCAAGTCTAAAACACATAAAAGAGAATTTTTTTTTTCATTTATTTTTAATAATTTTTATTTTAACCCCAGAGTAGAGCATGTGTATAGATGTTGAACTTTAAAGTGAGAAATATTATTGGGAAAAATGTTGGAAAAGTATTTCCGAGTTTCGTTATAGTTTTGTCGAGTTATTTTATGTATGTCACTTACATTGAAGAGTAACAATAAAAGTTATGTAAAAGGAAAATAGCTCTCTATATAAACAATATCAAGCTCTGTGAACTTGGAACCCAAACTAGAAAAAAGAAAAAGAAACATTTACGTATTACGCACGACCTAAATAAAATGTAATAACATTTATGTTTGTAATTTTTCTAAATTACAATAAAAGACAATATGATGTTGAAAAGTCAAGATGTGAAGACTCGCCTGCGATCAACAATCGTGCCATAGCAAGAAGAAAAGTCACGGCTTTAAGATCTGGCGAGGCACGACCTCGAAAGCGACGACGACTTGGCGGGATCACATAACCTTGAAACTCCTCTCGACGCTTCTCGCGCGTTTAAAAACACATTTGAGGCTCGATCGCGCAAGGAATGCGCACTCTCTTGGACTTCACCACTTTATTCTTTCCTTTTTTTGTAGTCTAAGAGAAAAGTTTAATTTTTTTGACCGTATGTATTTTTAGTATTACATCTTTTTCTCCCGAAGTATGAATATTTCTCCAAGCAACATAAATCTAAATAGAAACACCATCACTAAAATTGTGAATATAAATTGTAATAGTGAGTATTTAATATCATAATAAATAGGAGTTTGTAGTGAAATATTCCGAGAGTTATCCGATTGGAACATCACATGTATTATTTGCCGTAATTTTGTAGTATCACTAGGGAGACAATGAAATGACGTTTTTCCGTTCCGGATCCCATAATAAGTGCAAGTGTTCGAATGCCCGTGTGAAACAACGTTGTTTTAGTTAGGTATATACTTCCACTACTTCTCGTCATCATGTAGGATTGCCTTTTATTTATCTTTATACTTTTACTACACTATGCAGTAATAATTAAAGTTCTCAGGAAATGAAATTAAGATAATGCTACAAGAATACATAAGTACTAATGAATTTCATCATTTCATTTACATCATATTGAAATAATACCATTAATTATAGTAACTAAAAATTCACACCATCATATATTTCTACAAAATAAGGTGACGGTTGTCTGTATCCTTTTTTTTATAGTATCCTTCCACATAATATCCTTGCTAAAAATATCCAGAAATCTTAGATTTCATAATATAGCCCGGTGTAATCATTAAATGGGTAATAGACACACTAGTTCTGTATGTGTACATAAATACACACTTTATGAGTGGACAAGTAAAGGCTTGAGGTGCGGAGAAAGGGGAGGAGGATGTGTGGGTTAAATACTTGGAATTGAACGATTTACTAAAAAATTTTTGTGTATTTTATTTTCGCCGAAATATGGACTTTATTGGCATGAATATTTTTTTGATGAAGATGTATTTTAGGGGTGGGTACAGATTAACCGAATTGGTACATACTAGTTGGACGGATTATATTCTGAAAAATTATTTTATCGAAACTTTAATTAATCTAGAATAGAAAATAGTAGAAGTACGAATATAAGGAACTATTTTACTTCGATAAAATATTATATTGAAAATTCTGGGGCTCAAAAGCAATTATCATTAATTTTAAATTGATATGACAATATATGCAATTATAAATAATTCTAGCATATTATAAATAAATTATAAAAGAACATTAATTAATTAATTAATTAATTTTTCAATATTTATCGTTGTGAGATTAATTTATTAAATAAGAAATAATATTAACTATTCTGATTGACTTTTGTCTAATTTCCTAGTGTTGAATCCTGGAATTTAACACTTTCTTTTATTCCAATAATTAATAACAATTAATTAGCAGTTAAATTGTTTAATAATTAAAATTTTAACATGTTTCATTTTTCACTGATTAAAACTAGGAATAAACCGTTACATTATTTCCAATTAAAAATAACAATTTCATTGAAAATTTAAGATTCTACGTGACGAAACATATTTACGAGTAAATAAAGTTGTTCATTGATAATCCATAAAATTGAAACGACTGTGCAATTGTACTTAATTATACACATAGAGTTATAAATAGCAGTTATTAGACCTTCACTTTGACCACTAACCTGACAAACTTTACCGCGAATCCTAATTAGCGGTTTATCGGTATATCGATAATTACTATATGCAGAGTGACATGTACAAATGTGACATATTGATAAATGCATCAACCTTGGACTAGTATCACCCCTAAGTAAGACAGTAAAAATATTGACATTAATACACTAATCTATCAACTGCAATGCTTTTCATATTTATAGGTCATATTTTATGTATGTTTATGTTTAAATTTAACTGTAATATATTTATTATTATGTACATCATAAGTAGATCTATTACAAGCTCATATTGAGTTTAATCCAGGGAACATCGATAATTATCAATAATTAATCCGTTCATTTAATTTATCGTGCGCAACCATACCGCTATCAGATAATCATGCTACATATCATGCATTTTATATCATAGTTACTTTACTGTAAAATTTACATATTGAATCATTTATAGTAATTAAATATTTTTTTTTAGGACCACACACAGACCGAGATGGTATGAAAGAAAGTGCCGGCAGCATTGCCGAGGTGGTAAGTTGATTATTACATTATTTTTATTCTGTAAATGTTCACCATTATCATTATCTAGGGTTTGATAAGGCCTAACACAAACCATGTTATTCCGGTTTCAAAGATTTTCGCACACCTTTTAAAGATTTGCGTATCAGTAGACTTAATTTCACGGGAGGGTGAGTCACAGACGTTTCGCACTGTTTCGTGCAGGACGTGACGAATGATGATCGTC